ACCTTACCTTACTTTACCTAACCTAACCATACCTTACCTTACCTTACTTTACCTAACTTAACCATACCTTACCTTACCTTACTTTACCTAACCTAACCATACCTTACCTTACCTTACTTTACCTAACTTAACCATACCTTACCTTACCTTACTTTACCTAACCTAACCATACCTTACCTTACCTTACCTTACCTAACCATACCTTACCTTACTTTTCTCTATTTGCCTTTCCTTGTCTTGCTTTACCTTGTCTTACCTTACCTCCTCTCACTGCACCTCCCCTCACGGCACTCCCCCTCTCCTCACCTTACCCCACCTCATCTCACCTCCCCTCACCGCACCTCCCCTTTCCTCACCGTAATTACCTCACTTCACCTCTCCTCACCTTACCTCACTTCACCTCTCCTCACCTTACCTTACCTCATCCCACCTCACCTCCTCTCACCGCACCTCCCCTCTCCTCACCTTACCTCACTTCACCTCACCTCACCTCACCTCACCTCACCTCACCTCACCTCACCTCACCCCACCTCACCTCACCTCCCCTCGCCGCATCTCCCCTCTCCTCACCTTACCTCACCTCACCTCACCTCACCTCACCTTACCTCACCTCACCTCCCCTCACCGCATCTCCCCTCTCCTCACCTTACCTCACTTCACCTCACCTCACCTCACGACATCACCTTAAGGTGAGCTGTACCGCTGCCTTCAGTCAGGCTATAATGGTCGTAATGCGTAAATACGTGGGTGGGTCTATACTTTACTTTTCCTCCCTCCCCCAGGCTGTGTTGACGACAACAGTCGGTGCCGGGTGCCTGGAGAGAAGTTCCCCATGGAAATCAACGGAGTGGTTGAGCCAGACTGTACCTGCTCTGACGTAGGTGGAAGGATCAGCTACACCTGTACCCCTGTGCTGGCCAGTCACAACTGCACGGTCAGCGGCCAGGAGTTCGCTGATGGCCAGGAGTTTGTGTATCCGGGTCAGTCCAAGTGTGTGAAGTACAGGTGTGACAAGGGATCTTACAGGCCTGTCCAAGAAGGTGAATGTGTGTGTGTGTGTGTGTGTGTGTGTGTGTGTGTGTGTGTGTGTGTCTGTTTGTGTGGTGTGTATATGTGTGTATTTGTGTGTATGAGTGTGTATTTGTGTGTATTTGTGTGTGAATGTGTGTGTATGTGTGTGTTTGTGCGTGTGTGAGTGTGTAGGTGCGTGTGTATGTATATATGTGTGTATTTGTGTGTGAATGTGTATCTGTATGTGTATGTGTATGTGTGTGTATATGTGTGTGTTTGTGCGTGTGTGTGTATGTGCATGTGTGTGTATGACATATGTATTTGTGTGTGTGTGCCTATGTGTGTGTGTGAGTGTGTGTGTGTGTGTGTGTGTGTGTATGTGTGTATGTGTGCATGTGTGTAAGAGAGAATGTATGTGCAGGAAGTATGTATGTGTGTGTATGTGTGTATGTGTGTGTATGTGTATATGTGTGTGTATGTGAGAGTGTATGTGCGTGTGCGTGTACATATGAGTATATGTGTGTATATATGTGTGGTATGTGTGTATATGTGTATGTGTGCGTATGTGTGTATGTGTGTGTATGTGTGTATGTGTGTTTATGTGAGAGTGTATGTGCGTGTGCGTGTACATATGAGTATATGTGTGTATGTATGTGTGTGTATGCGTGTGTGTGAGTATGTGTGTAAGTGTGTAAGTGTGTATGTGTGCGTATGTGTGTATGTACGAGGGACGTCCAGAAAGTAAGTACCCTTTTTAAATAATTATAAAAGAAATAGTTTTCCTAATTGTTATACCTCCTCCTTCTTCTTTTCTGTGTATAATATCACTCTCTAGTAACACTTCTAATCTTTGCCACTCTTATGGCTTGAGTTGCAAGTGCCGTAAACATCTTACTAAAACTTGACTTCAGAACACACCCAGTGCACTCACAACGCGTTCACCTATTTATTTTCACCCCAGGTTGTGAAGTAGACGGTGCCTGCCACGCCATAGGCTCTGTGTTCGAGACCAACTGTGTGCTGAAAGCCTGCAAGAAAACCACATACCCGGACCGTAGTGTTCTGTCTTCAGAAGTTCTCATGAGACGTGAGGAAGATAGCTGGCTCTTGCACCAACTGTGCGTTTCACACACGCTAACACACACAAACATACACACACACACACACACACACACACATACACACACACACACACACACACACACACACACATACACTCATGACGCGGAATGGAGATAACTGCCTTTTACACCACCTACGTGTTTCACATATTATTTATTGTACTAACACACATACCCATAGCGAACACACACACACCGTTCT